ACACCCTCCCTACCATTTGGAGCCTGTCTAAGATATAATCCTACCAAACATAGTTATTGGGTTTCCCAGTTTAGGTAGATTAGATATAGCAGATTAGAGGTGGGATAGGTTTCTAGAGGTAAGGCACATTGGCAGAAGTTAGAAGTGAAAGCAGAGAGAGCCTAACAGTGGAAAAGAAATTCTTAAAACCAAACACAGGAACACAAAAAGCTTGGGCTGCCAAGAGAACAGGCCAACAATCCTCAATAGTTGTATACCTTCTATACGTTATAGCACATTTTATAAAAGGCTGTTCCTAACAATGGTTCTCATTTTTTAAAAAAGTCTAAATATGTTCAGTATTGTCTCATAAGACAAAAAATATATATATTTTTTTATTTTTTATTAAATCAAAATTGATTATACATATTTTGGGGGTTCAACATTGAGATATGTTGNCCTCCTCCTTTCTTCATCTCTGCTGGTGACTCTCCTTGTGTCAATGCACTCCAGTGGCTGGGCGGACCATCTGCGTTGTGGTTGTGGCATCTAGCCACCTTTGTGGCGGCCATGGATATCGTGGTGGCTGTGGTGGGCCACCCACATGGAGGAGATGATTTTGGCGTGCCCCTTGGTGCTGGCAGTTTGCCTGGTTGTGGAGAGTGTCTGATCCCCAGCTCCATAATCCAAGTGCCCAGGCGGGCCCCAAGGCGCTGGCATGGCGAGCCTGGTTGCAGGAGGGGGGTCCAGTCCCCTTCTTCATGCCCCGGGACCCCGTGAAGGCCCCGAGGCACTGGTGCAGTGTGCCTGGTTGCAGGAGAGGGGTCCAGTCCCTTTCTCCATGCTCGGGTCCCCAGGCAGGCCCTGATACACTGGCGAGGTATGCCTCGTTGTGGGAAGGGGGTCTGGTCCCCTTCTCAGTGCCCCAGGTTCTGGGTGGGCCCCAAGGCGCTGGCATGGTGTGCCTGGTTGTGGGAGGGGGGGTCTGGTCCTCTTCTCCATGCCCCAGGTCCCCACGCGGGCCCCACAGCACTGGTGTAGTATGCCTTGTTGTGGGAGGGGTGTCCAGTCCCCTTCTCCATGCCCCAGGTCCCTGGGTGGGTCCCGAGGTGCTGGTGCAGTGTGCCTGGTTGTGGGAGGGGGGGTCTGGTCCCCTTCTCCATGTCTTTGGCCCCTGGGTGGGGCCCTGAGGCACTGTCATGGTGTGCCTGGGTCTGGGAAGGTGATCCGGTCTCCTGCTGCTAACTCCAGTTCCCTGGGTGGGACCCGAGGAGCTGGTGGTGTGCCTGGATGTGGGAGTGGGGTCTAGTCCTGGATCTAAGCCTCAGGTTCCTGGACAGGGCCCTGAGGTGCTGGCAGTGTGAGTGGTTGTGGGTGTCTTGCCCCTGGCTCCATGCCTCATGTCCTGTGGTGGGCCCCAAGGCATTGCTGGCGTGCCTGGGCCGGAAA